TTATTATAACATGTATTATACTTTTGTCATGAGCTATATATAATGGTGCAGTTATGTTGTATAGCTTAGTTACTTTTAGCATATATATACGCGTATAGATTTCTAGGTACCTATTGCTATATATAATTGGCTATAGGCGTACTATATCTCTACTCACCTATTACTATTGTATGTTATATATATATATCGTGTTATACAATATATTATAACTGTTATAGTATATACCCCTTTATATGATTTGTTTGTCGGTATATATATATATATATATATATATATTAAAGTATAATAAGTATAAGTATATATATATAATGAGATATATATAATATATATATATATATATATATTAAATATTATCAATATATATATACATATATATATACGATATATTATATATTATTTATATATGTATATATATTGTATGATATATATCAAGGCTACTGAAATAATTAGTTCAAGTAAATAAATAATTATAAATAAAATATATATATAAGAAGTATTACATAGTTTTCATATATAGGGCGTGAGTCATATTTACTATTAGTACTATTTGTAAGTAGAGCCTTATATTGATATTAATATATATTATATTATATATAATGATACTACTGCGCTTCTATAATATAAATGACAAAACATGTCTAGGTTAATGAACCAGCTGGACCGTGCATTAAGAACTCACACTGCATAAAATTTACGCTCCAGACTTCGAGTGACAGAAAACATGTGTTTGATCTGCTCCAACATTGAAATCGTAGCCTGAGCGTAAGTATTGCTTATCTCTGGTGAGAATGAACCTCCAACCTCATTCTGCATCTCACTTACTTTGCTGTATCCACACATTCCTAGAGAAAGAGGATTAACTTGTCAATACAATGGCTAATACAATACAAATTTCAATCAAATAAAAGCTCTGGGGTTTATATGAAACTGACTTCTATCTTGAGGAAATAAAGTCCCATTACATAATGTAGTTATGCTTTCCACTTCAGAAGTATATCAAAATCAGTTCAAGTGCTTTCAACTTTCTCCTTTTAGATCACTAATAATCTTACAAAACAGAAGAAGTAGACACATATTTCAAAAGAACATGCCAAGCATAATGTATTTGTGTTCAAAAATAAAGTATAAATAATGATAACAATATTTTGGTTTGGCTTGCTTAAAATGGTTGGTACTTTCCACTCATTATTTTTTAAATTTCATTTGAAATTGATTGTTTTCATTGTAAAGAGCACTGGAATCCAAAGGATTCTTAACACAATAATAAATGCTCTAAAGTAAAACTATACAATATGTTGAAAATCTGTCTTATGCATGAGTTTTGTAAATATTTGACACAGCTATTTCACTTGTTGAGTTTTAAAAAAATACAACCTGCGGATGCTCTTGTAGGCCGTAGATGACATAATTACGTAGATAACTAACCCTTCCCAGGTGTCCAATGATTTTTATTCAATTATTTATAATGATAATGCATGCAAACAGCTGAACACCAACTCAACTCTATACTGGTTTTCCATGCCCAATGGCTATTTTCTTTTTTCTTTTAATTCATTAAAGAATATAATTTGGTGTGCGGTAACTACAAATTTTTCCTTTACACAAAAATGAGTTTAGTTCAATTAAATAAGGATGATTAAAACAGTTAACCCTACATACATTTGTTTACAAACATATAAACCTCCTTGAATATCATAACCATCTTGTGGTCTTAATTTTTTTGTGCTATGAAAAATGGATGGTTGGATTTGCAATGGTATTGGAATGTGCAGGGCATGTCGGATCCTAGATTTTTTTTGGGGGTGGGGGGGGAAGAGAAAGAGAAGAAAAGAAAAAGAAAAAGAACAGATCGAAAATAAAAGAAACAAAGAAAGAAAGGAAGAAAGAAAAAAAATCAGTATCTATATTACAACTGAAAAAAATGACCCAAAAATATTTCACAATGGCAAACAATCCCCACCAATTTTTTTAATGAAATTTAAGTTGGGATCTGGGAGGCCCTTCGGGAATTCAGGGGGAAAAATGCAACCTGTGGACCGTACTGTGGATGGTTAAATATAACACTGACTTTCTTCTATTTTTATGGGGGTTAAAATGATATATAAGACAAGGCAATTATATACTCTTAACATGGAGGGAGGAACAAACAAACTATTTGATATCTAAAAACACATCTTTTCTCTGATAAATGACTGGAGCAAGGTAGGCCTCAGCTGGGACAATCCCCTTCACATACAAGAAAATAAATAAGAAAGAATAAACAAGATGAGAAGTGGAAGCCAAAAAAAAAAGAGAAGTTAATAAAAATACCTGGAATAGCTGCATCAAAACCATCAATATCAATTGCTGGCACAAGGAAAATCCTTGTGTTCTCTAACAAAGTTTGTATCTTCACATCCTTTTTAGCCCATCCTGCCCCCAGGTGTCGAGCAAGACGAATGACAAGCTCACGACCAACAGGCTGAGCACCGTATAACCCTCCAAGTACTACTACTCGAACTCTGTTGTCATACGAAGACTCTTGCTGTTGGCCAAAAATTATTAGGCATGAATGTACATGGCCACATGTTCAAAAATAGATATAGAATCTACTCAGTAACGACTTGTGAAAATGTTGTCAGATGAGACTGTACTGTTGGCCAAAAATAGATATGAATGTACAACATAAAAATAGATATAAAATTGATCAGCAGCTCTTTCTATGAAGAGCATGGATCTTCATACTCACTCACTCATTGGCCAGAAATTTCAGGCCACTTCCCTGTATTCGTTTTCAATCTTGGCCATGGCTGAACTGAGCTCAGAGTTGCTCAAATAGGTCTCCCCAAGGTTTTCTGCAATGCTGAAATCTTCCTGCACAGACCAGTCCTGAGAGTCATCTCCTTGTAGGGTGAAGTTGACCTGTTTTGCCCACAAGTGAGGAATGTCGACCTTCTTGCTACTTGGCTGATACCTGGATATAATGAATGGCTACAGTACACCTAACTGCAAATTCCTGAAGGTGACATATTCTAAAATGCTGGCTTTCCAATAGTAATGCCTTGTTTGCACCTGGCAATAATTATTTGTATGCTTATATAGATTACATAATGATCCCCACCCCTCCGACACACACAAAAAAAGGTCTAATAAATGAAATTTCATCTTACTTACCCTGGAGCATGCACTGTAATCAGGTACTCTCCTGGAGCAAGGAGTCTCCAATAATCACCATCAGCAGCTGATACAATGTCATGATCAATATCTGCTACTGAGATTGTAGCATTGCTGATTGGATTATTATTTCCATCCAAAATAAATCCTTTCAACCCAGTGTGGACCTAAAAACATATAGTTATATATCAATATGCATATAGGCACTCTTCTTTCTGATGCATAGGTCAGTGGTTATAAATATATTAGGCAAAAGAAAGTAAATTACATCCATAAACAAGATAATTACAGGACATGTATCGTATTCACTTATCTTAAAAAAAAAAAATCTTTACCTGTTCCATGAATGTAATCAGAGAATTCTTGTTTTCCATCCAGTATCTTGGCAAGTCCTTTGCATATGGATACTTATTGCATGACATCTCAACCGTAATTTCAAAGCAGTTTGAATGCAAGTAGTTGTAGTCTTGCATACCACCTGATACACTATACCACCTGGCACCATTTGTGATACCATCAGGGAATACCACACTTGGACTATTACATGGTTTCCCATGTGGCATTTTTGGGTGAGCCTGAAAAAAAAAAAAAAAAAAAAATATATTTTTTTATCTGGACGAGGTCCTGACATAACTAAGAAATCATATCTAAACAATATAATACAAACCTGTCTTTATTTACAATACCATACCAAACCTATCTTTATACAAACCACTAACACCCCAAAGAGTTACATCTTTGGAGTGACACAAAGTGAAACAGAAATCCAGTGAAGCTTACAAATGAGTAGGCTTTGGCTAACTTCTTGAAGATCTCATCATCTGGACATTTACTGTAAAGGCCACTTCTCCCCTGGGGATTGTCGTCCCAGGGGTAGTTGGCAACCAGAGACCCTCCATGGAGATTTGCTGAGAGGACGAAGGGATACTCCTTCAGCCACTTGATCACAGCTAAAGTTTCTGGCTCCTGAACCACATTTTGCTGAAAAATCATATATATAAAATATAATTTGGGTATTTCTCCAAGTGTCTAAAACTAAGAAGAAAACAATCCATAATACTAAAAAGGCAACAAAAATACATAAAAACAAAAATGAAAAACAGACAGAAGAAAAAAATAGCTTATTCAGAAATGAAAGTTATACCAAGTGGTTTTTAATTATTTACAAAAGTAATTTCCAATAAAAGATTCTTTGAATTAAATTAAGATCTGCTAGCAAAACATCCTAAGGTACTAATAATTCAAAGGCATGTTATCATATCTACATTGCTTTTGAATATGAAAAATTCTTTAATCTTTGGATATCAAAAGTTCAGAACTTAAAGAATACCTGGTTGGTGAAGTACTGATCTGGGAAATTCCTATTAAGATCTCTGTTATTAGCATTGGCTCTTCCTAATACTCCAGCAAAGTCACCTGAAAACATTGGCTCCACTATAGAACACATAGTTATTAAAAATGCAATGAAAATAGTTTTAAAACAAACCTTAATCTAAAACTAACAAAAAAATGAAGATGAAGAAAGGGGTGAAAAAACAACAAAAATAATGGATATTGTGCTAAATAACAAATCAGTTAATAGAAATGCTACTATAGCATCTTACCAAAAAACAAGAAATAAATGAATGAATAAATAAATGTATGAATCAAGAGATTGATTTTGACATCAATAAACTGAAACACAGAAATTTACCTTCATTTCCAGCCTCAAAACCATCTGGATTCATAGTAGGCATAATGTGTATTCTTGTATCATTAACAAGACTTGTAACACGGTCATTAACACCATATCCTTCAAGCAGGTACTGTATCAACAAAAGAAGTGTCTCGCGTCCTACGACTTCATTCCCATGCATGTTGCCTATATATTTAAATTCTGGCTCACCTGCATGAATAAGAAAAAAAAAAAAAACCTTTAGGGGTTACATAGAAGAAAAGATGGAAAAAAAAAAAAAAAAAAAAATCACAACTAATGCCAAATCTCAGTCAGATGACAAAATATCGGGCAGTTTACTTTGAAAATTAATATAAAACCAACCCTTTCCTCAACTTACCAGGCTCATGAATGCCAGGGTTGTCAGAGATCTCTAAAACATAGAGTTCTCTGCCCTCTACACTTGTACCAATGGAGTATAATCTTGTAAGACTTGGGTATCTTTTAGCAAACTTCATCATGAATGCTTGCAAATCTGGGTAATGGTGATATCTGTAGCAGGAAAACATGTCTTAAATTTTGAAGAGGGAAGGTGTATATAAAAAATAAAATTCATTATCATTATACATCATGGCTATTAACCTGATGAGGATGACTGATTATCTGGGGTGTGTTTACCTGAATGAAAAATATTTTAATTTCTCTACTTTGATTTCGTATTCCCTTTACAAGTTTTGATATGTACATCAATATATCTAATGCATACTGAAACTACATTTTAAGTGAAGAGGGATTTTTAATCTCTGATGAAGATAGATGGAGGGTATGTGAAGAAGTTAGAAATTCTTGTTTACATGCACTCACTTAAACTCTGGCTCTGAAGTAAATCCTTCTTCCTCTGGCTTCTTGGGTTTAAAAGTAGCTATAGTTGTTGTAGTCGTTGTAGTAGTTGTTATGACTGCAGGAGGCGGAGGAGTTGTAACTGACACAGAGGCTGTTTTAAAACAAATACTTTTAAAACTAAAGGCATAAAATATATCTAAAACACATAACAATAACCTTATAAACAATGTCACACTTGAAAACCTTTGCACAACACTGGTACACACTGTAAAGATGCTGCCCCTAACCTTATGCTAAGTATGTTCATGACCAGTTTTAGAACATACTTATTAAAAAAAAAACTCAAAACACATCAAAGTCATGTCAATTTCTTCTATCTACAAACTGTTGTCACTACACTTGCATGAAAATAAAATCACATTCTCAAAACCTTATCCCGCAACTTGAAAGGCATAAATGACTTAAAATCCTCTGTCTTGATTTCCATTTCAAGTAATACTAAAACTTAAAGGTGCAAAATAATGACAATAGCAGTACAGCTCCAAAGTACTGAAACTATTCTGATAAAAAGGAGTGACAACAGATTAAGGTGATTCCTTAAAACACTATTTTGCTATTCCTCTACCAACCACCATTCTAGAATTCTTTAAAAACACAAAACATTTAGTAAAATAGGCCATGAAAAATGACTATAACCAGCCTTCACTGCCCTTTGAACAAATAAGCTTGGAACAAACACAAAAAAGAATTCTAGAGCCAAGAGAGAAAAAAGAAGAAAAGATACCACCACCAACACAGCCTTGAACTCCAACATGACATGCTGGCTGCAATGAGATCTCATAAAATATTCTGACGGCCATGAAATAAATGTCTGTTCTGAAACAAGACTACTTCTATGTGTTGATAAGTAATGTGTAAAAATATAAACACACACACAAGCATTCCAATTATTCTAAAAAATGTACAGTATTAAGTCAATATATCTATCCTTTTATCAATGCATGATAAAATTTACCGATATATGATGTTCTGTAATTGCAAAACTATTTCCCTTTCTTTGTGTTTCAAGAACTCCACAGTCCTCCACCTGAATTCCTCTTCAATTAATTTTTTGAACAAAGAGGAATCCACGATTCAAACTATCACAATCTATTATAATATCTTCATTGTGGCTATGTTTTATTTTATATGTGTATACATGGTAACCCACTTGTGACGGGTATCACACATGTGACATCCCGAAAAATAAACATTGCCGGCTGTTCCACCAGTGCCATGCTAGATCATAGTTTGCGTTCCGATTTTGTCGCCTGTGGTGGGCGTCGCATGGGTCTGTTCCCGGACTAGCCTACACACCAATTTTGATGTCGCCCGGAAACCGTGATTATCAGCTTCCAAATGGACTGTCCCTAGTGGGTTAATGTGTTTGTATGTTTAGCAACGTAAACCTAACATTGTCATTTAAAGCAAAAATCCTATAAAATGGGGAAAAAGATAATTGCTGAATTACACAAAACATATTTGCTCTGTATGTCTTGTAATAATATACAAGTATAAAAAAATTCAGTCTGAAAAAGAAAAAAAAAAAAAAAAAAAAAAAAAAAAAAACATTTCATAAAAAATATCTACACTTAGTTTAAGAAACAAACAAATAAATCGAAGAGAAAGACAGCAATAATATTCTGCACGACAGTCTACAAGCAAATAGTGACAGCATTAAAAAGAAACACACAAACAAAATAACCATCCCCATTCACACATGCATTAAAATTTTCCAAGTTATTATTAAAGCGCAAACTCACATGAGTCTAAACTTTCAGTGGCCACTGAATGCACATTTGCACTACTGGCTGATGATACTGTTGCTGGCATACTGCTACTTATAGTAGTGTAAGCTTCCATGGGAACAGTGACACTACTGTTACTTAATTCATCAAGTGGTGCAAGTGAACCACTTCCATTTTCAGCAAGATCTGCTATTGACCAACTAGAAGCAGGGAGCATTGTGGTGCTAGAGATTTCAGAGGTATAATCGCTACTCTCATTAGTGTATGTGTTAGACTGTCCAACAGGTGTAGTAACCTCAGTATCTTTTTTTGTGCTAGTCTCAGAATTAGTTGTTGTTAACAGTGTTGTTTTCGACAGATTTCGTTTTGCACGTTCCTTAATGGGCAGATCAATCTTTAAACTCCTTAATTTTTCCACCCTGTCTCCTATTACATGGAGAACTGAAAATCATTACAAATAGAAAATATATAAGAAACAGAATATAATGCAATGTAAAAAGGCTCTTAGCATACCTTATCAGGGACAAAAATTCTTGTCACTGAAATTCAAACTAACTTCAATGTTGCACAATATTGAATATGCATAAATTTTCAAATTAATTCACTAACATCACTAACCTTGTGAAATCTGCTTGAGCTTGAAGTCCAAACGTGAGACGGTTCCATTCACCACAACCACTTTCTCCTGGGCTGTCTCATACCTGAATAAATGTATGTATAATCCATAATTTTGCAAGGTGCAAATTCATAGAAAAATTCATAGTTCTATAGTTATGATAATAATCAAGCAAAAAAAGGTACATGAATCCAAAAATCAATCTACATTTGCTATTCACACATTACATACAGTAGTGTATGCTGAGATCTGAAGCTTAACCCATTAGCGATGGGTGTCCCATATATGAGACAGACAAAAAAATAAATATTGCCGGGCGTCCCACCAGTGTGACGCTGTATAGGGGTTTGCGCTCAGATGCAGCAACGGGCTGCGGCCAGCGGGCGGAGAGACTCCGGGGAAGCTCCGCCCACCGATTTTGTAGCCGCCCGGAATATTTTATTTTTGGCTTCAAAATATACCGGCGTGCATGGGTTAATCAACATTTTCAATCAAATCCAGAGAGAAGTAAATAACATTGCTATGGTTTGTTCAAAAATGAAGGTAAAAAAAAAAAAAAAAAAAAATAAAAAAAAATAAATAATTTTTTGGGTAAGAGTGCTTCATATGTAAACATTTTGTCTTGCAATATTATCTTTTTGCTGCTGTGTACATAATCGTCAATATTTGCCACTGGATTATTTCAACTTTTGACAAGTATGAAAGCTGATGCAAGGAAATATATTAATTGAGGTTGTAATACAATTCTCCTTTTTTATGCAAAACTTTCATATATGTATATATGTTTGCTAAACTTATTTTTCTAAGATATATGCATTTCAAACTGCATTCCATAACATAAGATACTGAAGATGACAGACTAAAAGATTCTCATCAAACCAGAGTCATATTATAAATAAAAGTGTTTCCAAAACAAAATAATCAAATGAGTATGTACTAACGAAAATCATTTCTAGTTTGCATCTACACTTTATCAAAATTTCTATTATCTAAGCCTTTCACGAAAGACCTACCCATATGCTTTTGCTACCAGAGTGTAGGTTCCAGGTAAAAGCAGCCTCCAGTATTCGCCTCTTGATGAAGTTGTCACATTGTAGTTCACTCCCTCTACGCTCACTTTTGCTCCTTCAATCCCTACCCCAGTTATGGCATCCGTCACAACACCTTGAACAGAGAGGTTTTGGTTTAGGAGAAATTGGCAAGTTTCAAAGCATATAATAAGAAACAATAAACATACTATATGATAATCATTCTTCAACATACAGGCCTCACAGGCACAGAGCAGGATAAGATTCAACATATACTGAACACCACTGGAAGAAGAAATTTCTAAACTAGTGCCATCTTTTATGGTGGCAATTAGTGTTGCACAACGCAACACCCAAAGCTGTCTCGTGATTGGAGGCTAAACACGCTGTTAAGCTCCACCCATTTCTGCGAATTGCTGTGGTTGACTGTTAGCTGCTTTACTGTACTAGTTATTTTTTCGACCAATACAGAGTAATTTGGAATATAATATACTAGATGGCTTTTGATATCTTATGGTGGGTTGTGCTGTACTATAGATATCCAAGCTATGCACAAATATGCATGAAATATCTGAAGCAAAGGAGTGCATCTGGCAACTTGATAAATGCCATGCATCCCTATACAAATATGCTTCCAACAAAATCTGAAAAAAAAAAAAAAAAAAAAAAAAAAAAAAAAAAACTTACTTTTGTAAAATGTCACTTTGAACAGCTATGCTGCTTGATCTTTGCTCGTTATATTTTGGCCATGTTGTTGGTTTAGGCAGCTTGGTACAAATATTTAATAATCCCTGAGCTCTGTAAACACTGCACATATTAGCCTGATTTCTGTAAAACTTTGATAAACCACTAATATTCAAACACATTAGGAGTAGAGTGCATGTACCTCAGATGCAACCGACTAGCTACTGCCTTCTTGTGTTATTTCATTTTTTTTTTTTTTTTTTTTTTAATAAAATTACTATATAGCCTTTCACTGTGGCTATCTGAACATAAATCTTGATTTCAGGGTTTATTTCAATAATTGCTCTTGCTTCCCTTTTGTCACTTTCAAACCAAGACACATTAAATTAACTGTAAATCCCTAGCTTTTCTAAAGATATGCAACCAATTTAATACAAAGACTTGTGGACACTGAACTCTAGTTCAATTGCATTTAAACCAGAGTCACAATAACCGAGAAGTGACATGCGTACTTATGAACAAAAAGGTACATATTCAACAATACTGTACACATATCCATGTAAAGTATCTTATCTCAAGCATTTGCATGACATAAAAAGTACCATCATATGCTAGGACACATTTGAACTCACCTTTTGCTCCCATGTGAGTCTTTTCCATGAATGCCAGAAGTGATTCCCTGTTCTTGATCCATTCCTCTGAGAGTTCAGATGCCATAGGATACTTACAACAGGAGAGCTCAAAGGTTACTTCAAAGCATGATCCATATACATAGTTGAAGTCTTGCATTCCCCCTGGAAAAATTTTGTTATAAAATTAGGAATAAGTAAGAACTGCATTTCTTTCCAAAAACAGTATGGCCAATAAATTCATTAAAATTCTACCTGTAATCTCCAGAAATTTACCTTTAACATCATACCAAAAAGCCCCATTGGTAATTCCCCCTTTGAAGTTATCTCCCACACAGAGATTTCCCTGGTGCATTGTGCCATGCTTTGAGGCATATGTGGAAGCCAGGAGCCGGAAAATTTGATCATCAGGAGTCTTGCTTTCAACACAGCAATCATTGTGACGGCTGGAGAGGGGAGACAAAGTGAGTCAAGCTGGAATACTTTGCAAATAATAAAATGATTAATATCACTTGTTTCATAGATGATACTTGAGTTGGAGGAAAGAGAGAAAAAAGATTAAACAAATCATATATATCATGGAACACATAAATAACTTGAGGAATACATGACACTATAAGTAAATACAGTATCACATTAACAATTACAGACAGCAGATACTAACTCCTATCCAACAACCATTTATTTTCTGTATCATTATAAAATATTTATATCATTTTGGGATGTCAAAGATATTTTATCCTTTTCTGCTCCTTTTACTACTACTACTACTAAGACTAATTGTGACTGAAAAGATATGGTCACTATAATAAAAAATATGAATGATATAGTTAAAGAAAGAAAGAAGAAGAAGAAGAAGAAAAAAAATATATATATATAAATTCAACTATATTAATAACACTAATTGCTATTAATGGTACTAATAAGATAATAACAGAGACAATAATGGAAATTCTAATAACATACTCAATAATGATAATGACACTATCACTATCACTATCACTCACACACACACACACACACACACAAATATGACAAATATATTGGCATATACTGACAAATATATAACTATGTACAAACATATATGCACACACACACACACACACAACACACAATATGACAAATATATTGGCATACACTGACAAATATATAACTATGTACAAACATATATGCACACATCAATGCTAAAAAATGGATGAAAGCCGTAAGTATTGATACTGGCAATGCCTTTCAACTATAATGTATTTTTCACTAACCTGCTGTCATCAAATGGGTAGCTGGCAACCACTGAGCCACCATGCAGGTTACCAGATAAAACAAATGGATTCCGAACAATCCAACTCATGACAGCCAATGTCTCTGGTTCTCTTCCTTTCTCCATCTCTGCTTCTGAGGGATTCTCCCACTGAACAGGGAAATTCCTATTCAGATCTTGTTTGTTCGCATTCTCCCGGCCTGAGTTTCTGAAGCCATTGCAGCTTCCCTCCTGCAAATAATTTTAGTAATTATTTAAATGCCTTTAGTGCACTAAAAAATCAAATAAACATCTAAATTAAATGCTAATACCTATTGATCATATGTCATCCCCATATCATATTTTCATTTACAATACCACAAAATACAATGCCTCTTCAATTTCCATAAAATCACTATCTATTTGCATATACTTGCTCATACAAGCTTAAGATCCCATATAAATCTTTATCTAAAAATAAACCCATCAGTAATAAATAAATTATCATAAAATGAACACTTCACAAAGAGAAATGCAACATGACTTGGAAGTTGCAGAAGGAGCCACCCAGACAAAATTGGACCAAAAGTTCACACACAAAAAAATGGGAGGGTATTACATTCATGGATGGTGGTGGCCAGATCTTTGCCAAAGCATACTCTTTGGCATCATGATATATAAATTGAAAAATTGAGCTTAATCTGATAAGCAATATACGTCCCCATCCTCATCCTCCCTCTCTCCCATCCTCTCTCTAGTTCATTACATATATCTTGTTTTTCTCTCCTCCCTCTCTCTTTCACTAACTCATTTATTTATTAACTTTATCACTTTTCTCTTTTATATCTGCTTGGCATAACCTTTGTCAAAATTAGCAAACATATCCACTGCTGGATCACCTGCATTTTCTCTAAACTTGCTCTACTGTACTTGAGCCTTCTCTCAATTGTAATTCTTTTACTTGTAACTAAATTTCATTGAGTTGAGCTTAAGAGCAACATCAGCCAGTCATGTTCATTTAATAAGAGATAAAAGTAATAAAAAATGAATTTTGACAGAATAATCATGACAGTGGTCACCATCTTTCAAAACAAATGATCCCTGCCTTAAAACTGGAAATTTGCATTAATAATACACAAATTTTGGTATCTTGTCAAAGGCTATAGAAAACTTTAAAAAAAGGAACATGGATACCCTATTTTTATCTTATCTTATCACAGGTTACATTTCAAAAATAGGACAAAATAAAAAAATAAATAATCAGTCAAAATGCATACCAAAACTTATTTCATTTCAGCATCTAGAACACACAGATTATTAATCTTAAGAGAAAACAAAGAATTGTAATACTAAAGAAAAAAAGTCCCTAATGAAATATTAAATCATAAGTTTATATACTGACTATAATCTCACTGTATATCTTATCTCTTGATTTCCATATCACACTAAGTGTCAAAAATGACACTGTTCTCACCTATCTTTCAAGAGATATTTTGCTGCTCTATGGGTCATAATGCCTAAACTTTAGAGATCTTTAATATCCTTGTCTGTCGTGGGAGATTTCCTGCCTTCTGAATAAAACAGAAAACAAGAGTTAGGATGATGACAAAGAATACAATGATGATGAAACAGAATACAAGGAATTGGAAGATGAAATTAAAAAAGAACAAAAAATAAGACAATGACTATGAATGTGATGACAATGATAGTGATGAAGAGAAAAATGAAGGATAGAGATGAAAACAAAAATGACAAAGAAGATGAAGAAGAAAGAACAATTATTCTTTGTCTATCTAGATGCAAAAAGTTAAACATAAAAATGAAGGTGAAAAAGCCTCTAATTATAGCACATACAAATTAATTATAATATTGTCATGCATGATCTCAATCAAATTATAAGAACCATTTAAGAAGAAGAAGAAGAAAAAATATACTGCACTTTTAACAGACTTAAACATTTGAATATAAATCCCTGAATACCTTACAATGTCATTGCAAAGTATAGCAGAATACAATACACTGTTTATGTAAAAACATTGTTTACCAAACAGTGACAATAATATAGAATAATTTCAAAATCAATTAAAATGAAGGAAAGCAGATTCATGCACTCATTAATGTGCTTAATTGGTTATCAATGGATGTTTGACAGATGCTGCATTCCTTATCAATGCCATGAGATGGGGGCACTGAGTTGCACTTTGCAGCATTACCTTGCATACATATGGCACTATAAGCATGTATTATCTTGGTGACACATGTACCTATGCCAACTATATTTAAAGGGAATGTGAGATTTCAAACCCTGCCCAATCGCCTCTACTCTATCATACCCTTCCATAGCACCCTTGATCATCTCCCTAACACATTCCAATGTTTAAGGGTGTTTAAGGGGTCTATAAGGGGTATACGAGTACTCAAACCATATCCATTCTCATTTACTCTGTGATAGCTTCTCATAGCACCCTGGATCACCTTATTTAAGGGGTCTATAAGGGGTATGAAAATTTTCATACCGTACCCAGTCTAATTTAGTAATTTACTCTGTGATAGGTTTACATAGCACCCTAAATAAACCTGCAACCATGTACTGTTGCTTCAACATAGGTCTCTGGTTATGGTTAATGGTTTATGGTTTTACGGTATGAGAGTTGTTAATATATAGCCCTGTGGCTGGCCCCCTTGTTTTCTATTTAGTTGGATGGTGACTGATTGTGTTTCGCTTTTGTTTGGGGTGGGAGACCTGGCCAGGGCACAAATACATTAAACATTTTTTTTTTTTTTTTTTTTAAAGATTAACCATAAACTATACATTAAAGTGCATGTTTAATAACTGTTATCTTCTGATATACTGGACTATGCAACACAAATCATTTCAAAATGCAAGTACACACAAATTGAATAAAATTTTACAAGCTTGTAATGCCAATGATAGGTTTGAAATAAGCTGTATGGTCAACAGGGAATTGCATGATGACACACTATATCGTGCTAACCTAAACTTAACCAAGTTCTGAAAGATAACAACTATATATATAGTTCAGTGTTATTCCTAACCTTCTACTAAGATACAACTAATTACAAGATGTGTGCTCTGGGGTGTACCTTCAGCCGAGGAAGTAAAAATGAAGTGTGCGTTTTTCTACAGATATGCATTTGGGATTTTTTATAATGGACATGCAAACACTTTCATCTGTATATACTGCCCTTATCAAACTGATACACCCTGTCATGAGAATCATAACTGAAAACATATTTCTGAAAAGTTGTGTGTAATTTTACTATTTTAAAGAAAAGAAAAGAAAGGAAGGAAAGAAACACAGTATGAAAGAAGGAAAGGGGGTAAGAAAGAAAGAAAGAAAAAAAGTTGACAGGTGTTGGTTTCCACCCTAATTAAGGGATTTAACTCTATTTCACAAGACCTCCTATTAGCATAGGTATTTCTTGAGGTCTTACCTCACTATTCATTCTTCTCATGTCAACCACTGAGTTTTTCACATAACACATTACAACTTTTTTCAATAATTCATGCTCTTAGGTCATCAGATGTGCATCAGGATCAGGGGTATCAATTTCTGAGTACTAGAGAATAAAAGGAATCAACAGGTGCCAACTCGGCAGTATCTGGTGATGTAGATGTATTCAGTATGTCCGTAATAAATTATGCTAACATTCAAGTCTGAAGTCATAGTCTCAAGAACTTCTCTTTTAAGGGCTATAAGCCTATTCTAAGGCTCCATGAGAGCTGTTGGAAGGTAAACCAAAATGACTGTATCAAGAGACTGCTGCACCCTAAGTATAACTGGTCTAGCCCAATCCAACAATCTCCAATACTTCTATTCAAGTAAAGTTTATAAGCTCTATTTTCTTGTGTGCTAGTAGAGACTGGTGTGGGAGCTATGGCATCACTTAACACCTTGAATCTGGATGCTTCATTGCCTGCATGTGGCCAAAAATACGAGCACTTGGCTTACTTGAGTGGCCACTCTAACAGATGTGCGGCTTGTAACCTGGAGGCACACACTCTTGTGTGATGAAATTACTCCATGTCTCCCCTTTGGAAGGATATTTTCTCTTTTTCTACATAAGCATTCATTTTTTTTTTTTTTTTTTTTTTTTTTTTTGCAATTTTCCGGTATCTATATTTGTCATTACATTTGCTTTATCAAGATGCTAATAGACTGTTTTCCTTAAACAAACTTCCTATCATCTCTCTAGGGAGTCTATAACACGTTTTGTTATATGTGTAATCTTTTAATTTTTTTGTAATAATCAATTTTCTGCAATAGCTGTAGTAGAACTAGCTAGAAAGATGAAAGATAGAGGGAGAGGGAGAGAAAGAGAGAGAGAAGAGAGAGAGAAGATAGGGAGATAGGGAGAGAGAGGGAGAGGGAGAGAAGAGAGAGAAGAGAGAGAGAGAGAGGGAGAAAGAGAGAAAGAGAGAAAGAGGAGAGGGAGAGGGGGGAGAGGGAGAGGGAGGAGGGAGGGGAGGAGAGGAGAGAGAGAGAGAGAGAGAGAGAGAGAGAGAGAGAGAGAGAGAGAGAGAGAGAGAGAGAGAGAGAGAGAGAGAGAGAGAGAGAGAAGAGGAGAGGGAGAGGGAGAGAGAGGGAGAGGGAGAGGGAGAGGGGAGAGGGAGAGGGAGAGAGGAGAGGGAGAGGGAGAGAGAGGAGAGGAGGGGAGGGGAGAGGGAGAGGAGAAAGAAAAGAGAAGAGAAGAGAAAGAGAGAAAGAGAAAGAAAAAGAGAAAGAGAAAGAAAAGAGAGAAAGAGAAAGAGAAAGAGAAAAGAAGAGAAAAAAGAGAAAAAGAGAGAGAAAGAAGAGAAGAGAAAAAAGAAAGAGAAAAGAGAAAGAAAGAGAAAAAGAAAAGAGAAAGAAGAAGAGAAAGAGAAAGAAAGCGAGAAAGAAAGAGAAGAGAAAAAAGAGAAAGAGAGATAGAAAGAGAAAGAAAAGAAAAGAGATAGAAAGAGAAAGAGTGAACAACTAACAATTCAGAACTTCTTAATGTTCATGTTAACCAACTATAGTATGCTTGACTTTTGTCATTTATTTTTTATTTATCTAGTGATTTATTTATCATCATCATCATTATTATTATTATTATTATTTTTTTTTTTGCCAATTCATCTACTTCTTTAGCTTGACATATTTCATAACAACGAAGTAGAGAACCTGATTATGGAAAAAAAAATATGCTTTATCAATCATGGTCAGTTTAGTTTTGCAATCTCATTATTTCTATTTCCTACTGTTTAA